AGATAGAGAAAGAGAAGATTGAAAAAGAAGAGAAAGAGAAGATAGAGTTTGCCGCTTGTTTGCTCGCTTCTAAGTATTGAGGCAAGTTGTAAAACTTGCAGGGTTCCGTCATTTTAATATCTTGGTTTTGATAGTTTAAATTTGTTTAATTGTGTTTGTTAATGCAATTAACATGAAACATGCTTAGGTTATGCATATAGGGTGTAATCATAGATTCAATTGGATATATAATTTCTTAATTTTTGCCGAATTAGAATTTCTGCATGTTTAGGATTTTAATTCCTAATTTTTTATAGTTTAAATTTGTATACCATGTTATCATAGATTAAATTCTAGAATTGATACCATATTAGCTATGCCATGATTAGAATTTACATATATATATGGTTGTTTAGAATTTCCATGGATTCTGTTTTCACGAGAAAACAAAGTTTGGAAATTCAAGTATCTGATTATCTGTTTTTCCTGAATATCGATAAGTTGGAATATATAATTGTTTATAAATGTTGTGGTTTAGACTCTCAGAGTCAAGCCTAGATAATAAGAGCTAGGTTCGGAATTCCTGAGATGTCACTGTTGATATTAATGAACTGTTGAACTGTTTGCGCTCGTGGGAGTCCGGCCTGAACCTTGGTCGTGTCTGGTTGGGTCTGGGATTCCCAGGGTATTCTGAAATTATGTTATTGTTATGGTTGTAGTGCGGAGAGGCACATGTATTTATACGTATATTATATGTTGTTGTGCATAGTGCACCTCACTTGCTTTATTGTTGTTGGTAGCACTTGGAGTGGACATACCCATGCGCTACTGAAGTGGGGTATATGACCCCGGTGCTTTGAAGTAGGGGTATTCGTGCTTTGGGCACGTGTATGTCTAAAGTCTCCGGAGCTTTGCAGCATAAGCAATTTTATGCTAAGTCTCCGGTGCTTTGAAGCAGGAACAATTATGATGTTTATGCCGGTGTGGGCATTTTATAATTGACTAATGTTTATATCAATTGATGTGGTTGTTTATATGCCGTATGGGCAAAATAAAATATGTTTCTATTGCAGGTTGGCACAGTTGTGGTTGTGGTTGTTGTTATATATTGTTAAATATATAACTGTTGTTTACGATGATAATGTTGTTGATGTATGTGACTAAGGGACGAGTATGTACTCTTGGTCGTTTCTATTTTTCTTTGGGATTCGTTAAATCGGTTCCTTTCCCCTTTCCCCTTTCAGGCAACTGGTGATAGCTTGCTTAGACTTCATAGTCTAACCCCTTTCCCCTTTCGGGCAACTGGTGAGCCTTTGACGAGAGAGTACGATGACGAGAGTGACGTAGCTTAAAGTTTAGTTTTTGAGTTAGCTCTTGTTGTAGCTAGGTTCTATTGTAGCCTCTAAGATGTTTTGATATCCTAGTTTTCTTTTGTTCAAACTATATATATATCCCTTTTTGTATATTCAGTTATTTATGTTTATAAACTCAGAGATTTCTTTCAGTTGTAATCTTGTTATATATAAAATCTTTCGTTTTGATCTTCCGCTGTTATTTCTGATAGTTAGTTGTTGTTGCATCCATTTTGATATTGACTGGCGGCATAGAAGTCACGTGATAGTAGGATGTATCTATGGCCCATGGTAGGTATACGAGAAATATTACGCTCTGGAGTCCGGTTTGGGATCGATCACCATGAATTGGATTTTGGGGGCGTTACAGATGATTACCAGAGGTCTGGGGTTCAAATCCTGCAAGCATTACGGAGTAACTGATATCATTAAAAACAGGCTTACCACAATTTTTTTGCAAGTGTCAGTTGAGCTCAACTGGTAAAACCTTCGA